CTTGGTAACTTGTTGATCAGGATTATAATAGCTTCACTATCAAGGCTGGTAATCACCTCATCAATGTTTGGTGTTGACTCAATGAGCATTGTCAGATCCTCGGGACTTGCTTTCATCAGAAATTCTGTCATCGTTCTAGAGTGTGCATGCCTTCCATGGGCTCCACTACCCCACATCTCCTGCATTGCCATCTGCGGATATAGGGCGCTTTCGAATCCATGACACCATGGGCTGGAGCATCTGTAACCGCAGATGCCAGCTCGACACCTGTAGCCAGTATTTGCACTTGAATGCCGAACAGCTGTCTGATATGACGGAAATGTCGGATGTGTTGGATAACCGAAGCCGACGACTATGAGACAGGTGATCACGATAGCAAAGATCCGCATTGAACACAATGCAGTTATGCGATGTTTTCGATTATGATATGCAATTTTATAGACGTTTGCGTAAGGGGGTACCATGTTCTTACCCACACCATTGGTTTGTTGTCATAGTCACGCCTCACTAACCCCGATTAACTTCTCCGTCAGTAACAATGACCTCATGTTTGGCCGTGTTACCATTGTAGCATGTGTGCTGCGAAGGCCATATTTCTTCACTTACAATGATGTCCATGATTTGTTCGACATTCCACATGTAGAGAGTGATAGATGCAAAGTTGTAGACTTCGCCTTACTGGTAGAATATTTGGACTATCCACAAATGAGCATTGGCGAATAGGAGGTTAATTTTAGTCCTAATGATATCGCAGTTGCATTTCCTTCTCGCGTGCTGCGACTTCTCATAAATACTTGTTGCTAGATAATGCCACGGATGTAATTCCAAACGATTATCTCAGTGAGGTAATTTAGGGTACCACCACAGGCCCACATAATGTCACTTGTGAACGCTGATTCAGGTAGCGGGAATTTGACATGCAAGCCTCTTCTGTCTCCAATAGATCCACCTCCACTCTTGTGCCTTTGATCTACAACTCCTTTCAAGCCATCTCTTCCCTTATTCCCTTAGTTTTGTATTTGTTTGCGATGTCTAATTGTGCTTTAGAGATAGCTGTGTGGAAAGTAGGCACAATGGGACGATAATTTAAACGTCTACCTCACTCACTGCGTTAAATGGACCTGTCATTGCACATGAAAGCACCCAACTAGATCATTCCAATGTTGCAGCCACCAAAGCATGGGACTACTGAAATCGGCGCTACGGCGTGATACCACACCCTGTCTTGCTTGCTTTCTCACTTTGCACCGTCTGATGTCCTAACTGGGTTCACTTCTCTACGCACATCTAGGTAATGTTATCCGCACATGCTCTGAAAACGATATCTCCATAGCCTTTTACCAACCTTCATATAGGCGTGTCCATTTGTCAGGTGAACATGTAAATTTTGTACAATGCGAGAGTCTTTAACACCTCTACTGCCTTGAGACTGCCCTGAAGGCAAAAGAAGCCATAATACCATGGCAAATATGTTCTGTCAATGTACAGAGTAGCTTAAAGGGGACTACTGGCTTGGCCTGGAGGCCATGCGGCTATGCAAAATACAGAGGCGGAGCATTCAGTGCCCTCTAAAACAAGGTGAGGTGCTAAACTAACCATCGAAGCATTGCAGATCAATCTGTTTGAACAATTGCCGGTTGCGTCTCTAACGCTGTCAGTGACATGCAAATTCACCGTGTTTACAGCTGTCACAACTATTTTACTGCAGATTTAGTCTGTGCTACCAACTGGAATGTTCCCAAACCACTGCACTCATACCTCCTGTGAAATTGTGTTTGTGGGGCAGTGTTTATCTTGAGTTCTCCAGCATTTGACATACCCGTTGTGCACTAGATAAACACCAACAAAAGTATTTATTATTTCCTTCTAAATCACTTATGCAAAACTGACGGATAAGAAGAGGAAAACAGTTCTGCTGAAACCTGTATTTGCGATGTTCATTTGAACATTTGTTCCCTGCTTTAAATAGTTTCAAATTAGTTACGCCGATCCTAAGACACAAAACTAACTTTATGCTGACGAATGATGAAGTGAATTGATTTGAAATGATTGAGTGGTTCGTCCCTAACTTTTGTACCTCGTTTGATACAGCTCGTGACGTTGCTTTCACACAGTGTGTTGCGCATGCGTGAGTGGACAAGTGATTGGGAAAGTGAGTTAATGAGTGCCTGCCTAAGGGAAGGAGGGAGGA